CAAGCAGAGACTGGATTTCATTAGCATAGGTCTTGCAATTAATTGCAGCCTTTTTATAAGTGATTCAGCTAGACCATTTTGAGTATGTACATGAGGTACAGGATGTTCAATGTCAATTTCAATAGACATGCAATAATCATCAAATGTCTTAGATGGAAATTCACCAGCATTATCAAGACGAATTTTCTTTATTGGGTGATCTGGAAACTGAGCTCATAATCTAATTATTTGAGCAAGCAACCTCGCAAATACCAAATTGCAAGTAGATAATAAACACACATACGACCATCTAGTAGATTCATCGATAAGTACCATAAATATCGAAATGGTCCGCATGGTGGATCTACAGGTCCACATATATCACCCTGAATTCGTTCTAAAAATGAAGGGGATTCAGTTCCCACTTTGGCCGGTGATGGTCTAGTTATTAACTTCCATTTTGAGCAAGCAACACATATAAACTCATTTGTATTTAATACCCTTTGATCTTTCAAGTTATAGCCATTGATATTTTCAATAATTCGTCTCATCATAGTATTACTGGGATGCCCAAACCGGTCATGCCAAATCATAAAATTTGTAGACTTCTGGTCTACCAGATATGTTTCAACCACATTAATCTTTGTGCAATATAATTCGGAAGACAATGATGGCAATTTTTCTATTATATATTTATGTCCATGAATTTTGTAACAAAAATTCATTATTTGTCACACTTGATGTCTCAATATGATATCCATTTCTGCAAATATCATTAAAACTCAACAAATTTCTTTGAGATTTACTAGAATATAGTGCATTTTGGATATCAAGTTTTACTCCTTCGGGGAGAAATATTATCGCTCTTCCAGAGCCCTCAATTAACTTCGCACAATCACTTATGGTATTCACCTCAATTTTTCCCAACTTCAGGTTGGTGAAATATTTCTTATATTTCAAAATAGTGTGCGTTGATGCACTATCAATAAGACATGAACTATCTTCCATATTATTCATTATAATGTGCTCAGCATTCATATTTCTTTTTCTGGGAGAAATATAAGAATAAATATATAAAAAATTTGGAGAAAATGCATAGCTGTCATATCATTACAAAATGTAGGGAGCAAAAACTACATGTGTTACAAAAATATCTACGCATATCTATATGCATTTATATCGCATTTCCGGGATTTTCATAGTACCCACCTTCATGGTGTACTAGAAAATCAGATACATCTAGCTGCGTATTATCATTACATTTATCACCCCCATTTCCACTGGCAACATTCTTTGAAAAATTAATTTCTAGGGGATTGGCATTTTCCGGTGCTTTAACTTCTTCAGGCACTTTGTCTTTCTGTTTCAGGGAATTTTGGTACAACTCAACAAAATAAGAATTGGAACGACAATTTCTGAACCAATGCCCTGTCATTCCGCAACGATAATACTTATCCTCGTTTTTCTTTGAACTCTGACTAATATCGTTCTGAGGCCGCTTCATAGGCTTATTTGATTCTTGTTCATCAAAATATCCCTGACGGTAATAAACAAACCTGCCACGATCTCGTCCACGGTCGGCTCCACGTCCACGACCAAATCCACGTTCACGACTAAATCCACGTCCACTGCCTTGTCCGCGACCTCGTCCGCGGTAGAATCTAGGCATATTATTTAAACACTGAGTCGCATTCACTTTAGGGAATGGACTCGCACCAGTTGGCCTCGATTCGTGATTTTTTTAACAATAATTCGTTATTCTGTTCAGCAACAAGTAGACAGGTAATAAGATCACAATATTTATTAAAACCTCTTTCTCGATATTGTTGCTGTAAAACTATATTAGAGGCATGAAACGTGGTAAATGTTTTTTCCAACATATCCCTATCAGAAACATTTTCTCCACAAAATCTTAATTGGGACGTGATTTTGAACATCATGGAATTATAATCAGCAACTGTTTTAAAATCTTGCAAATGCAAGTGTTGCCGTGCATGTTTCGCTTTCGGTAATATAACAGATTTCAAGTGTCCAAATCGATCTTTCAAATTTGTCCATAATTCAAATGGATCTTTCACCATTAAATATTCTATTTTTAGGGCTTCGTCAATATGATGACGCAGGAAAATCATTGCCTTTGCACGTTCTTGATTTGTGCATTCATTTTCACTAATTATTGTTTTCGAAAGCCCCATGGATTCGAGGTGCATTTCGACATCCATTACCCACGGCATATAATAATTTTCAGTAATTGCCAGTGGGGAAAATTCAAACTTTGCTATATTAGACATTGTTAAAAGAAAATAAATACTTACCAAAAATTCCGCAACCTTCCGAGTAATACAACAAAAACAACAACAAAAAAATACGCTATCTTTTATGTGCACTTCCTCGACAAAGCCTCGTGCTGATAACGTGTTATAAAATATATAACAAAATATATAGTACTACTACTAATAATATACAATAATATAGATGTTAAATGTATAGATATATATATATGTCTAGATAGAGAGAAAGATAAGAGATGAGAGAGAGATAAAATAGAATCGAAATTAGTGCAAGGAATTTTTTTTTCATTCATTTTTCATAAAGGCTATTTATAAGCAATATTACATAATATTACTCATAATCAATTGCCATGTGTTTATACAAAATAATGACACCTATCATAATAACTAATGACTCATAATAAATATAAGTAAGTTAACAAACATTTATTTTGAGCACTATGTAAAAAAATATATTGATTACTTTATATATAAAAAATATTTATAAAACTACAATCATTCATTTGACATATATATATATATATATATTTTTTCTCATATAAAAAATGCAAATGATAACTATTTTATGTCAAGTTGATGTAATGTTTCACCGAAATAGTTTATTATTTTAATATATTTTTATAAATGTGCAAGTGTTTATTGACTAAATATATTTACATGTAAAGCCAGTAAAAATTAAAATAACATGACTATTGTATACGAAAATCCATATATTCGAGTCTTACAACAGTTTGATGAAAGGTGAGAGTTTTGTCAAAAGTTCCCTAAGGTATTCCAGAAAGTTTTTAGGTGATCGTTTCATGCCTGAAAAAATTGGAATCGGCATAAAATCGGCCGACTGAGTTGTTTGTTGAGAAATTTCTCGAAAATTTTCAATATTCAATTACAGGAACTAACCAATCATCTGTAGAGTTTTAGTCAAGAGTGACTGAAGCCCACAATGCGCACAACGATGACAAATTGGTGTTACTTAGTTTTTTAGAAAAACTGCAAAAAGAAGTCAAACAATTTCTTATATGTGTAAAAAAAGTAGAAAATTTAGTGGCGCACCAAAACTGGATATAGTAAATAAATTTATTACACTGACTATAATTTTTTTATTTCAGCTACATATGTCAGACAATTGTTTGCGGAGAAAAATAAGGTCAATTTTAAATGTGATCATGTTTATGATCACTTAAAAGATTTCGAAAAATTTAAAGATCGCAATGAGTACGTACCCCGTAGAAAATTTTTATGAAAGCATAATGCAACTCATGTCTCGTCATCATCGGAACATTCAACTAGTAATTATTCTGCGTTGTCTTCATGTTCTATTCATTTGGATGATGAATATGATACTAAAGGATCCTCTTTCAATATTCCGTATGCCAATTTTGAAACTCCACTGGAACAAACGCGTCCCACGGGAGTAAAAAAATTTAAAATGAAAAAGAAAATTGATGAAATTGTTTAATTTGATAATCATGGTAAACAATATCTCACAAGTTGTCGAAACTATGAACATGTCATATGAACAGATTAACACGTATAATGAGCTTGAAAAACAAAAATTATAATATAAAATGCTTAGACGTGATGATGGAATATTGAAAATGAATTATAATAAAGTTTCAGACATAAATATTATAATGAACAACACAAGAAATAATAATAAAAAAGAACAATATAATATCAACAAAATTCGACTAGTTCGTTTTCGCAATTCTTTGATGGCATTGGTGGAAATGGTGGTGACTTATATCCGTACTAAATATTATATATCTTAATTTTAGTGATTATGCAAACTTGTATTTATTTTTACTGATGTTTGTAAGGCCATCTCCAACGCAACCTAAAAAATGAGGTTGCAGCTCCATATTTGGAGATTTACCTCTCCAACCCAACTTCATATCCAACACCATTTTTGGTGTTTGCTACAATGCAATGCCAATTTTGAAGTTTTTTACTTTTTCTTTTTTATTTTTTATTTTTTAATTTTTGCAAATTATAAATTGGTCCCTATAAAAATTAATTTGTAATTTTTTATATTTTAATTGTTTATATTTATTTTTTTAAAATATAAAAAATTGTTTAAAATAATATATAAAATAGAATATTTAGAGAATATTCTTTTGAAAATAGAGTTATGGGTTGAAATTAAATTAACGTGGCAATTGCACTTTTAAAGTTATAACTGCATAGATAAAGTTGTCCGGTTTAAGATAGTCTAATATATTTTATTTTAATCCAATGAATATTGTCGAATTTCTTCTATGTAATATTTTATGTTGTCTTAGTTGATGACTTAACTGTAGTTGGAGAGGAGAGGTATTGGAGGAACTCATAGTTATAGGAAATGCAATGTCCAAATTATGCCTAACAAATAGCTTCAAAGCAAGACCATCTCCAAAATAGCTGCCAAAAAGACACTGCAGTCCCATAATTGGAGTTTGCCCCTCCAATGGAAACACCATTTTTGGTGTTTGTTAAATGGCGTAGTGTTCTTTTTTTTTGGTTTTCATTTAATTTTTAAAATTTTTGTATTTTAATTTTTTTTTAAAGATAATATTAATTGTAGATACAAAAAATGATTTAAAAAAATAATAATATGAAATATTGGAAGAATATTCTTTTTAGAATAAAAAATAGAGTTACATATTAGTGTAAAAATACTGCATCTTTTAAGTTAAAACTACATAAATAGAATTCCCGAGTTGGACCTCAAACATAAATACTAGACTAGACACGTTTGCAAAACTTTGAATAGAGATTTTAAAAACCACTGCACTGCAGTTGTGGAATCAAGAACATGTTGCAGAAATTCAATGACATGTTTTTGCACATCAAGAACAAATCAGATCAGATCATATGGTTTCAAGTCTAATGATGATGATAAACTAGATATCTTTTTCAATCAAAATCATGCCAGGTAATAGCAGATACTCAAATTCAAGCACGAGCAGCAACAGGAGGTCCACCGGGGCGTGGAGCTTGACCTGGCCTAGGCATGTCATCCTGTAGACACAGAAACAGAGCGATAAATCAACTATGACACATTGATGTAGTAAAAGATAAAGAAAACTTGAGATATAAGCTTGCGGGGTCTGTCCCGACTCAAACTCAGAAGATGCAATCACACCAAAGGGCAAATTTCTGCACTATGGCATGGAATTGAATAAATGGCTAAAACTCTAAGCCCAGAAATACACATCTTTTTATGCTAATGAATTGTCCTTCAATCAAGCAAAGGCCAGTTACTGAGGGGACTGTATTCAATTTGGTCGATTCTGGACATATCAACTATGTTACAACAAGGCATGTGTGCTAGATTTAGTATTTGGCGGATACATCTATTAGTCTAAAAAAGTAAATTCAGCATCCACTATCCTCAAGTTTAATTTTAGGGGTTTTGGAAAAGAACTTGTAACAATTGATTTGAATGAGGAAGTTAAACATGTTTGCATAATTGTAAGGCACCGCACGATTATCATCAAATACACAAGAAAATATATTACATTACCTTTAGGTAAAAGAGAAAAAATGAAGTAAAAAAAATATGATTGGCACTATTTGAAGAAACCAATTATGCAAGGATTAAAAACTAACCCTTGGGCGTCTGAAGCGCTGTGGGGGCTCACGATTCCTCCTGTCAGTACGTGAGCGGACACGAACCACCTTGGAGTGAATGGCACATGAGACGCAGTACTGCATCTTCACATACAGCTTGGGAAGGGTATAGGCTGAATTAAGCATAAAATAGCACATTAAATAATATGTACATCTCACTTTTGTGATATAGCTACGGAGAAATAAGCACCAAGCATAGACATGAGGATAACCTAAAACAAATGGAGCAAAATCTTACTATCAAAAGCACATGCTTCTTGGACATCCCTTACAGCAGCTTGCTCCACGATGTTTCTCACCAGAAACCTCTTGATGGCTTTGTCCTATGCAACATAGTCAGTGTAAACAACAATCCAACTATGCTATTGTTTTTTTTTTTCCGAATAAATTCTGAAGCTAGAATAACTGCACAAGAATATTTCAGGAAGTATAGCATAGGCAATCAAGAATTTTCAGAACCAATTACTAATCTCAAAAGAAACTAAATGTATGATGTGATGAATGCATGAATTTTAATAGCTTCCTTTGCAAGTACCAAAATACAAAAACACTTACATTGAACCACATGTCAGAAATCAATTCAGGATTTTACAGATGCCTAAAACTTAATTCGATTATTATATGTGATATATGCATATATGTAACAGAACACTAAACTTAATACACAACTTGTTAATATCTAAAACATAAACAAACCTATCATCATTAAGTGGTATTTAACCATGGATGAGTACCTCCAGGTGATGGCCCCATGAAAATATAACATTAAAGAAGAAAAAACACAACTCCTACAGTTTTAATCAAGAAATTTAAATACCACAATCTCAGCAAGATAAAAGTGATGGTTTGATGTTACTCAACATTATAATTGCAAAAGGCTTCCATTTATTAGTTGATTCTTTATTTGAAGAAGTTTGAATCATACAACCAAATAATCTATTTAACCTCCCAAAAAATATATCAAATTAATTCGCGGCCAAGAAAAACTTTCCGTAGGTAAAATATACACCATGCACTTCCCTTTTCGCCTAGCGAACACAAAAGACATAACCGACAACTTAACAACGGCACCAACAAACAACTGATCAACCAAGTCAATTCCAGTCAATTACCACAACCAGCTTACCCGAAAAATTAGAGCGTAACAACGTAAATAAAAAAATTAAAATAACGAATTCTCAAAGATGAGGCATCAATCGAAACAGGAAATACCTTGGGACAGCATTTCCCGCAGTTAGAGCAGCGGATGAATTTAACATGGCCACGACCATGCTTGTTGCGCCCACCGTTCCTTCTCTTGAATGTCTACAAAAATTCCAACCGAAATTCAAAAAACAAGATCAAAAATCCAAAATCGTTGCGCCAATACACAGCTCGGAAGAAGCCATTCATACCATGGTTCGATCGACAGGATTCGCTTCTCTCGGAGTGAAGGCGCTCCGCCTCAGACAGATCGATACTCCACTCTAGGGTTACAGCCTCCGAAGCGAGCAGCCTCCTACAAGACGAGCAAATTTATACGGCCCAAACCCTAATTTCAATTACGGGTTGTAGATCTGCCCAATCGATTCGAAACCGCCGGTTTCAAACCGAACCGATCTTTCCCTCGAACCGTAATTTCCGGTTCGAACCGTTGGTTTATGTGGATGTGGGATGTTTTCTCTTCTTTTTTTTTTTGCTAGCAGTGTGTCTAGATAATGGATTCAAATCATCTATTCTCATTTCTTCTATGCGTTTTATCCAATCAAATAAAGTCATTTATGATAATATCATTTATTTAATTAATCTATTAAAATCGGGACCAAATTTTCTGTTCCAAATCTCCCTATTCCCTCTGTTCCAACAAGTAAAATTATGACACATTCAAATGTTGCAGTAGTTTCATCGTATAAAAGTACTTAATAAAAAATAACAATTTGTTTGTGGAAATTCACACCAACAAACAATGCAAGAGGACGATTTTGAGAATTATTCTCATAAGTTGTATCAAAAGATATAACATCTTCAAATACGACATAATCAGTTTTTATTCTTCCATCTATCCAAAATATATTAGTTATTGCATCATCATCATCAACTTGAATTGAGTGAAAAAAAAAATTGGCTTTTTTACATGCATCTCTTCTAAATATTTAAGTACTCCCCCGTATTCCAATTTTCATATCCTTAGTTATTTTTTAATGCAAATAATTTCTATAATCTTGTTAAGTAAATCCTAAATCATCACGACCACATGCTTGTTTGATCATATAATCATTTTTCATTTTTATTCAAATGTATTTTTATTTTTGCTAAACATTCAAATTTAGTTTCGGCACGCGAATTTTTAACATAAACATCTCGCTTATCAAGTTTTTGTTTACCTTCAGCACAACAACAAAATATTTTATCAACTAGTTTACCATTTTTTTTGTTATGAAATGTGCTTTTTCTAACACCAAATCCAACTTGTTTAGCATATGCATAATAAAATTCTCCAGCCAAATTTTTATTATCAAATTCCATACCTATTTGAGGAATTTGTTCTTTTGAGATGAATTTATGCAAATAATGAGAATTAAAATTATCAGAATCTGAACCATCTATAATAATGAGATCATCACTTTCTTTGTTGATAAAGGAATTTCCTACAACAAATATTAAATTTAATTTAAAATAAATTGTAAAGCAGTTCAGTCAAAATAAAAAAACAATAAATATAAATATTAAAAAAATAAAATACCTGAATTTTTTCTTCATTTACATAAGATAAATTTGTTTCTGATATCTTATACAATTATACATAGAATCCTATAAAAAAATAAAATAATTAGTTTAATATCAATTTTTTTTTTAAAAAAAAAAGAATTCTAAACAACATAAGAATCATATAAATTACTATAAAAGCAATAATTTTTTGTAATAAAAATTCAAATTTTAATTAATTTGAGATTTTTTATTTTTTCACATTCGATTCAAAATATTTTTAATATGTTTGATTTGATTAGAAGAAACAAAAAACAATTAAATATAGAAATTTTAAGTGAGAATAAAATGGTACCCGAAGAAGAAGTGACATATGTCGACGCACCAGAAAAAACTTCGAAGACAGCAAAAAAAACAACGAAATGCAACAATTAAAATATTTGATGATAGCAAGAGATAGGCAGAGATAACTATATACCAGATCTCACAAATGGAAGAGAAAGAAAGATAAATAAACACTTATAACCCTTTTTTTTTAAGGGTATAATAGTTATTTAAATAAATGGATTAAATAAAAGATGATTTTAATGAATTAATTAAATAGAAAGTATTCTTATAGGTGGTTTTATTGGATTGAATAGAACAGATGACACAGACGAAATTGGAACAGAAGATTTGAACCCGTAAATTAAGATCATAAAGATTGAACTTATGATCTTATACTCACAAGCTCATTTTTGGGTAAAAATTTTTTAAAATAAAATATATATTTTATAAAAATAGTAGGCAAAATTATAATATTTTTTAATATATGATTTCATGAAATTGCGCCTCATACTTTTAAAATTGTATTGAACCTTTGCATGATTTTTTAAAATCCGTGTCTAATTTATCGGTCTTTCTTATTTAAAGGTACTTTGACCTGCATGTGCTTAATATTTTGATCATTTAAAAAGAACAAGAATAATATAACAATTTAAAAATATTTGGATTTGGGTGTGAAATTATAAATTAGTTTTTTATATAGAACAAGGGTTTGTTTCTTTTATAAAAATTATTTGAAAGAATTTTTTTTTGTTTATAAATTATAAGAAATTGGGTAGATAATATAATAATAATAATATGAGTAGTATAAGTATATATATTTTTTGAAAAATATGTGTATAACAAAACAAAGAAATCCTTTAACATTGCTATATATATTCAAATTTTTAACAAATTTTATTAACACTTCAAGATATTTCTACTATGACACTTTAATTGATACAAATTTTATTATTCGCATACCTTTTGTTGTGTTTATATATTAAAGTTTTATTTAAATAATATTCGGCAGAAAATATTGTTATTAAAAATTTTGATGTTTACATAAATAAATAGAAAAACTGAATTTAGATGTGAGTAAAATGAACGATCACATATAAAAAATATATATTGTAATATTATTGCATGGTACGAAAAATGTTTAAAATACATCCAGTCCTACTTATTTTATATATTATTTTTGTTCGTTCATTATTTCTTTTGTTGACACAATTTTCTATAACTATTAATATAATATATATAATATATATTTTTTTATTTTTGAAAAAAAATCAATAATTACAAATAAAATATTATTTTTAATATTATCTATATAATATTTTATACCTAACATTAAAAAAATATATACATTTATTAAAAATTGCTGTAATGCAACATAAAATATTGGGTAGCCTGCATATATGCTGGATTCAATTGTCCAGCTGTGTGCAATAAAATTTGAAAACCATTAGCAAAGAAAATTAGAAAAGAATACTTCAACATCCTGCCAAAGCTTAGCCAACCCTATCTATTTTATGTGCTATTACATATCCACAAAATAGATAAATATATAACAGTAACAACCACGCGCTAAGCAAACCAAACCAACCGGCCAAGTTAATAATAATAATAATAATAATAATAATAAGGGGAAGGTTACGGTGCTGATTCCATAAAATACAAAAAAGCACAAGTTTTTATTAAAAATAGTACATATTGTTTATAATAATGACATGTGTTGTTTGTTTATAATGCTGAAATGAACTGTTGTGCTTTGGTAGACTATCTCATGTCCTGTTAATTTATGTGTTTGTATTTGTATTATATTAATATAAATGATGTGTTGTCACTAATATTATTATACGCTGTTTGTTAGCTATCTGTGTGTTGTTAGTTCATATAGAGTGTGTTTGTTTGGGAGCTTGGATTTTGGATTTGGATTTTTGAAGATTTGTAAGTATGGATTTTTAAGTTGTGTTTGTTTGAAGGTTTGAATTTTGTAACGATGTTGGAAAAAATATTATTATATTAAAAAAGGTGATGTATTGATGTGATTGTTTGAAATGAATGATATTTAAATATTGTTAAAATAAATAAAAGTAAAAAAGTAAAGTGATATTGGAATTGATATTTTTAAAATATTTTTTTTAAATTTTTTTTTGGAGATATTATTATTATTTTTATTTTTATTTTACGAGATGCGGTAATACGAATGGTGATTATTTATTGCCTCACCTACCGTCCAAACTGTCAATCAGATCAGATGAGAGGTGAAGTAGACAGGTGATTCTCGCGACAACTTCTGCTTACTGGGAAGGCGAAAGGAAACCTACGGTCTAGGAACGTGCCTAGGTTATAGGGGTAGGATCTTTAATTTGAATTTTGTACAGTATTTCAACAGTAAAGTCTAGTTAAGATTCGTCAAACGAACACAGCCATGGTGTATTTATATTATATTAATATAAATAATGTATTGTTACTATTATTACCGTGTGCTGTTTGCTAACTATCAGTGTCCGTCTAATAATAATATTTTTGTCGTGGTCCTAAAAACCCTCCTTTCTATATAAATATATACACATATAATCGCTCCTAAGTAATTCAGCCCTTAGCCTTAGTTATTGTAGTTGACATAATATTAATGGCGAAGGGCAAAATGGAGCTGGAAGAGCTGTACCTGGGAGTCCCCGACGACTACGTCAGCCTCACTTTCCAACACTTGGCTCAGCTCAACATCAACAGCAGATCACTAACCTCGCCGGCCATCTCCGAACAATCTACGAGGCCAACGATGACGACGGCGATGGCGAAACTCCCGAGTCTCGACTTCAGCAAGGGGCTGCAGGAAACATCATCCGCCTTGGAACATAAGATCATCTACCGCCGCGACGACCACGATCATCATCGTGTTCATCAAGGAGGATACCGCCGCGATGTCGACACGATGAATAGCCAATTGAGTGGGACGACGAGCATTAGCATGAGCATGAGCATGGCGGATAATATTGGAGCCGGCCGGAGGAGACGCCCCGGGATTCCGCACTCCAATATTTGCGCCGTGTGTTGCGACTACATCTATATTTTCCGTCACCGTTGCCTGGTATGTCGCTTCCGTCATCAATATACTACTTACGTCCGGTTCTAAAGGTCTTATTTACTTTTTGTTTGTTGATCTTTGAATATTACTTATTATATCAAAACGTAGTACAAATTAAGAAACAATTGCAAAAATACTTTTATTACTGTCTTATAATACTAATATAATGACATTTATGCAAAAAATTATACAAATATAAAAATATTTTTAATGCTAAGTACAATGACGCAAAAGGTAAATGTGACCCTTAGAGCCGAACGGAGGAAGTATATGATATTATCCACTTTGAGTAATATGCAGTGATGGAACTAGATTTCGAGCTGAGAAACTTTGGTTTTCGGTTTGAACTGACCATTCATTTTTTTTTTCTTATTTGTGATATATATATATATATATATAAGAATTTGACCACCAATTATTTTAATTTATTCTATCACTACAAAAAAGAGAATAT